AGAGCAAAGGTTGAAATATCTGTGCTCAGCTGGTTCTGATTTTGGACGACCAGCTGCTAACACGATTCAAGGTTTTTACTGAGAGTGGGTTTTAGCAACTGTGGTACAAATATGGCACTATAGCAAACTGGAGTTGAGGGAATAGCCACTGGTGAATGTTTGAATCCAGAGTGACAGATCTGAAATGAGATCATCAGTATGTTGGCATAGATATATGTATGCTAATTACATTCGTTTTGGTGACAGATGTCTGCACGGGATGGGGAGATTTAGAAAAGCCTGTGCACTGGTTGAGAATAGCAAGTAAGTCTCTCTGTTATTGTACAGTGAGCTGCATTTAACTGACTGACCCCTATTTATAAAACTAATTGCTGTCTTTTGATCAAGGTCACTTGGACATGCTAAAATATCTGTGGCCAGAACAGGAGTTCCCAGCACTGGAGTTGGAAGAGCCCACAGTGGCCAGATGTCATGTGTCTTTCATACTGCAGATTTACCAAAAGTCACTCTTGTGGGCAAGCTTTTTTTGGACAGAGGGGGATATATATCTAAAAAACAATGACAATAATAACAGCAACTATTTTTCTTATGCTGAGTGCATTTGCAGGTTTGGGGGAAGCACCCTTAAATAGCAAGAGCACATATTTCAGTGCAAAAGCAAGATGCTCTTTTGGAGAAATTGGGCGTGAAATTAAGGCAAAGCAATAAACTCCAGTGTTGATCATGCCAGAGTTCATTGCTCCCAGGTGCTGTGTCTTCACATGTGCCTGGGACCACAGCACGTTGAGCTGGATCAGAGCAGCCCCAGCTGGCAGGGTGGCGCAAGGGGCAGTCTGCCAGCTCGGGGCTGCTCTGACCTGGCTTAACGTGCTGTGGAGGGGCTAGCTGGGGCATGAAGGTGCTTGTGCCTCAGCCCACCCCATCAGCATCTACATGCGTATTGTTGTGCACTAAGGAACACCGCCGCAGGACAGTACTTGTATTTACAAGTACTAATCCACTGCAGAGTTAATTAGTTTCCTGTGGCCTAATAGGGCCGCATGTGTAGACTGTTCGAGACTTTACTGTGGAGCTAATTAAGCAGCTCCATAGTAAATGACTCGTGCAGATGTGCCCATTGCGTCCTCAGACTACTGTTCTTGTTGTGTTCATAACCCAAGTTGTTCCCCGAAGAACACGGCAGATTTTTGATGTTATTGAAGGTGCTAAGGTCTGATTGGGGGGAAAAACAACAGACAAGCATGAAAAGCAGCTCCTGGGAAGGAGAGCTGTTGGGTTAGACCTAAATAAACTGTAAATTCCCTATAATGGAAACAACATATCTGTGAACGAAGGTAACACAGCAAAGTAGATCATAGTATGGGGATTACAGTAGAGGGCGTCACCATCGTGCCTTTCCTACCAGACAAGGAAGGGGTACAGGGATTCCTTAAAATGGTGAACTATGTAAGGCAACCTATGTCTAACCTGACTGCCAGACTCAGCAACCTGAGAGAGCTACTTTGCAAAGTTGTCCAGTAGACATGAACTGCTGCTCTTAATAAAGACTTTGAGACTCTGAAGGAGATAATTTTAATAAACCCGGTCCTGTAGTACTGACAGTAAGCGTAAGAAAAGGCGCAGGGAAAATTCTCTCAGAACAGCGCTGACAAAACTGGAGACCAGTGGCTTAAGGAAAAAAGAAAAATTGAATGTTAATAAGCTCAAGTAGAGAAATAAAATGTTGGTTTAGTCCATTGGTATAAAATGTTGTGCATCTTTATTTACAATATTGTACAAAGTTATACATCTTTATTTATTTTTCAGTGTGTGCTGGGACTGACCATAAATGAGTTATTGACAGAAGAGTTGGGCTAACATTTTTCCTACTTCATCCAAAGACACAGATATCCTTTTTCAGCTACAAATGTATGATTTGCAAACTGAATACAAGTCCTCATTATCTCGAGCTTAACAGGTGGTGGAAACAGAACAATACTAAAAAAACATGGAATCAGACCAATCCATATTCGGCACCGTTAAATTATGGAGTGGCGTCAATGAGGCATGGATTGTTACCTACTGAGATTTTGTGTAACAGGAAACGGAAAACACCAGGGTCCGCCGAGTGTCTTGCAGATGCATAGAGACAATGCAAAACATGATGGAAAATGATGGAGATGCCCTTTGGAGAAGAATTTTAGAAGTACACACTACCTTTCATGTTAAAGGGACCGAAGGCAGCACAGCAATACCATTTAGTTTCTTTAATGGACATTTGTATTTTTAACTGCACAGTGGTAGCTGTTCTGTAATGAAGACCATTAAAGGACCATCACCATATGATTTTGATAATGGGTGTGGTGGTGACCTCTGGTGCTATGGAACCTCGTACATATAAATGTTGCTAGGTGATGCATAAAATAACAATATAAGTTATTCTTGGGGTCAGGGCATGCAAATTATTCAAACAGAAATGAAACATTTACTGCAAAATTGTAAGGATCCTCCTCCCCCACCAGTTTTTACTACAAACCAAAAAATAATATATTTCTATACATAAATAATCATTTGGGTACCATGATGTTCTGAGTGACACCTGGATCCATTTGTGGATGAAAATAGCTTTGCATTGAAAACATGCAATGATGTATGTTTTTCAATTGTTTTCAATGAACAAACACCATAGTCTTGTAGTATATCAGAGAGATTTCATGTAGAATACAATTGTTGATATGTGAAATTGTGCCCAATCAAACCAAAAGCATTTTCATATCCAAAAAGAATTAAATCGACGATGCAAATGTTTTGCTTTCTGCACAGCCCTGTTCAGAGGCTCTTTCAGTAGCCTGAATTCTGAATAAAGCATCGTAATGTAAAAGCAATGACAGCAGCCACTACATAGCTTTGAAGGGGTCGCTAGGATCAACTGATCTGCTCCTCTTAGTCAGCATTCTGACATATGTTGTGAAAGGGGTTTCACTGGAAATCTGGAGGAGGTTTCATGATGAAGAGCAGTCTAAATAAAGGCTTTCCACCTCCATAGTTCCGGCAGCTTAATTTCGACACGGTATCTAGTCACAACGTGACATATCTGCTCATAATAAAAAGCTAACCTCAAACCTCTCTAATTTTGGTCTTAATGTGGACAGCTGGGTGGCAGCCAAATGATTAATGGAGTAATCTTTGCTGCCGTGGGTTGTTCCTGGGGTAGGCTCTCTAATATTTCCTCTACAACTATCAATGAAGATAATCTCCAAACAATCCTTTTTTAGAGGCTGGTTAGTGCTGCTGAAGTTCATCTTTGAGAGCAGACATCCAGAACGGCTTCTTGATTAGTTATTCTCTGTGGGAAGAGTACCTTGTTGCAGAGCCACAGTCATGGTACAACACGCTACCAACCCACTAACCCCAGCAGTGGTTAGTGCCAGCCAAACTGAGTCCATAAAACTCTGAACAAACTGATCAAACCAGGCTGCAGATGGTTATAACAGAAATTGCCCCTCCTGGGCAGGTAATAAAGACAGCAAACTTTATTTAAGAAATGTTCCTTAAAAATTAAAAGCTGTAATCTAAACTGTTTATGTAGCACTGCTAACAGAAATTTCATAGTTTCATAGTAGCTAGGGTCAGGAGGGACCTGAACAGATCATCTAGCCTGACCCC